AGAAACAAAATCCTTTACAGACAAGTTACCACCAGGCCTGCCATACAAGAGTTCCTGAAGGAAGCACTAAATATAGAAAGGTACCAGCCCCTACAAAAACTTACCAAATTGTAAAGACTATCAAGACTATGAAGAGAACTGCATCAACTAATGGACAAAATAACCAGCTGGCATCATAATGACAGAACCAAATTCGCACATAACAAAATGAAGCTTAAATATAAACAGGCTAAATGCCCCTATTAAAAGATACAGACTGGCAAATTGGATAGAGTCAAGCCTCATGAGTGCTGTATTCAGGAGATCTATCTCACATTCAAAGACACATATAGGCTCAAAATAAAGGGATGGATGAATGTTTACCAAGCAAATGGAAGGCAATAAAAAGCAGGGGTTGCAATCCTAGTCTCTGTAAAACAGACGCTAAAACAACAAAGATCAAAAAAGACAAAGAAGGGCATTACATAATGATAAAGGGATGAATGTAACAAGAAGAGCTAACGATCCTAAATATATATGCACTCAAATAGGAGCACCCAGATTCATAAAGCAAGTTCTTAGAGACATGTACAGAGACTTAGACTCTCACACAATAATAGTGGGAGACTTTAACACCCCACTGTCAATATTAGACAGATCAATGAGACAGAAAATTAATAAAAATATTCAGGACTTAACTCAGCTCTGAACCAAGCAGACCTAACAGACGTCTGCATAACCCTCCACCCCAAATAAGTGGAATATACTTCCTTCTCAACACCATATAGCATTTATTATAAAATTAACCACATAATTGGAAGTAAAATACTCCTCAGCAAATGCCAAAGAACAGATTTCATAACAAATAACTCTCAGACCACAGTGCAATCAAATTAGAACTCAGGATGAAGAAACTCACTTAAAACCACACAACTACATGGAAACGGAACAACCTGATCCTGAATGATTACTGGATAAATAATAAAATTAAGGCAGAAATAAATAAGTTATTTGAAACTAATTAGAACAAAGACACAAGGCACCAGAATCTCTGAAACTCAGTTAAAGCAGTGTTTAGAGGGAAATTTATAGCACTAAATGCCCACAGGAGAAAGAAGACAAGATCTACAATCAACACCCTAACACCACAATTAAAAGAACTAGAGAAGCAAGAGAAAACAAATTCAAAAGCTGTCAGAAGACGAGAAATAACTAAGATCAAATCAGAACTGAAAGAGATAGAGACACGAAAAATCCTTCAAAAAAATCAGTGAACACACGAGCTGGTTTTTTGAAAAGATTAACAAAATAGACTGCTAGCCAGACTACTAAAGAATAAAAGAGAGAAGAATCAAATAGACACAATAAAAATGATAAAGGGGATATCACCACTGATCCAACAGAAATACAAACTACCATCGGAAAATACTATACATACCTCTAGGCAAATAAACTAGAAAATCTAGAAAAAGAATGGATAAATTCCTGGCTACATACACCACTCCTTCCAATACTAAACCAGAAAGGGGTCAAATCCCTGAATAGACTAATAAAAATTTCTGAAATTGAGACAGTAATTAATAGCCTACCAAGAAAAAAAAAAAAAAAAAAGCCCAGGACCAGACAGATTTACCATCAAATTCTACCAGAGGTACAAAGAGTAGCTGATACCATTCCTTCTAAACCCATTTCAAACAATAGAAAAAGAGGGACTCCTTCCAACTCATTTCATGAGGCCAGCATCATCCTGATGCCACAACCTGGCAGAGACACAACAACAACAACAAAAATTTCAGGCCAATATCCCTGATGAGCATCAGTGTGAAGATCTTCAATAAAATCTTGGCAAACCAAATCCAGCAGCACACTAAAAAGCTTATCCACCACCATCAAGTTGGCTTTATCCCCAGGATGCAAATCTGGTTCAATATACACAAATCAATAAATGTAATCCATCATATAAACAAAACCAAAGACGAAAACCACATGATTATCTCAACAGGTGCAGAAAAGGCCTTTGATAAAATTCAACACCCTTCATGCTAAAAACCCTCAATAAACTAGGTATTGATGTAACATACCTCAAAATAATAATAGCTATTTATGGCAAATCCACAGCCAATATCATACTGAATGGGCAAAAGCGGGAAGATTCCCTTTGAAAACCGGCACAAGACAAGGATGCACTCTTCTTGACAGAATCACCACTCCTATTCAACATAGTATTGGAAGGTCTGGCCAGGGCAATCAGGCAGAAAAAAGAAATGAAAGGTATTCACATAGGAAGAGAGGAAGTCAAATTATCTCTGTTTGGAGATGACATAATTGTATATTTAGAACACTCCATCATCTCAGTCCAAAAACTCTTTAAGCTGATAAACAACTTCAGCAAAATCTCAGGATACAAAATCAATGTGCAAAAAGCACAAGCATTCATTTACACCAGTAATAGATAAACAGAGAGGCAAATCATGAGTGAACTCCTACTCACAATAGCTGCAATGAGAATAAAATACCTAGAAATACAACTTACAAGAGATATGAAGGACCTCTTCAAGTAGAATAACAAACCACTATTCAGTGAAATAAGAGAGGACATAAGAAAATGGAAAACATTTTATGCTCATGGTTAGGAAGAATAAATATGATGAAAATGGCCATACTGCCCAAAGAAATTTATAGATTCAATGCTATTCCCATTAAGGTACCACAGACTTTCTTCATAGAACTAGAAAAAAGCTACTTTAAATTTCATATGGAACCAAAAAGAGCTCACGCAGCCAAGAAAATCCCAAGCAAAAAGAACAAAGCTGGAGGCTTCACACTACCTGACTTCAAATTATACTACAAGGATACCAAAAGAGCATGGAACTAGTACCAAAACAGACACATAAGCCAATGGAATAGAACAGAGGCCTCAGAAATAACACCACACGTCTACAACCACCTGATCTTTGACAAACCTGTTAAAAACCAGCAACAGGGAAAAGATAGCCTACTTAATAAATGGTGTTGGAAAAACTGGCTAGCCATATGCAGAAAACTGAAACTGGACCCCTTCCTTACAATTTATGCAAAAATTATCTCAAGATGGATTAAAGATTTAAATGTAAGACCTAAAACCATAAAACCCTTAGAAGAAAAGCTAGGCAATACCATCCAGGACATAGGCATGGGCAAAGACTTCAAGACTAAAACAACAAAAGCAATGGCAATGAAAGACAAAATCGACGAATGGGATCTAATTAAACTAAAGAGCTTCTGCACAGCAAAAGAAACTACTATCAGATCGAACAGGAACCTACAGAATGGGAGAAAATTCTTGCAATCTATCTATATGACAAAGGGTTAATATCCAGAATATTGAATGAACTTAAACAAATTTACAAGAAAAAAATAATCTCATAAAAAAGTGGGTGATGGATATGGAAAGACACTTTTCAAAAGAAGACGTTTATGCAGCCAACAAAGATATGAAGAAAGGGTCATTATCACTGGTCGTTAGAGAAATGGAAATCAAAATCACAATGTGGTACCATCTTCTGCCAGTTAGAATGGTGATAATTAGAAAATCAGAAACAACAAATGCTGGAGAGGATGTGGAGAAACAGGAATGCTTTTACACTGTTGATGGGAGTGTAAATTAGTTCAACCATGTGAAAGACAGTGTGGTGATTCCTCAAGGATCTAGAAAAAGAAATACGATTTGACCCAGCAATATCATTACTGGGTATATACCCAAAGTATTATAAAGCATTCTACTACAAAGACACATGCACTCATATGTTTATTGCAGCATCATTCACAATAGCAAAGACTTGGAACCAACCTAAATGCTCATTAATGATAGACTAGATAAAGAAAATGTGGCACATATATACCATGGAATACTATGCAGCCATAAAAAGAATGAGTTCATATCCTTTGTGGTGACATGGATGAAGCTGGAAACCATCAATCTCAGCAAACTAACCTGGGAACAGAAAACCAAACACTGCATGTTCTCACTCATAAGTGGGAGGTGAACAATGAGAATATATGGGCACAAGGTGGGGAACATCACACACTGGGACCTGTCTGAGGGTTGAGGGCAAAGAGAGGGATAGCATTAAGAGAAATACCTAATGTAGATGACAGGTTAATGGGTGCAGCAAACCACCATGACACGTGTATATCTATGTAACAAACCTGCACATTCTGCTCATGTATCCCAGAACTTAAAGTATAATAAAAATCCACATTAATTGGTAAATAAACATTATGAATTATGTGAAATAAATATTGCTAGTAAAATACAAGTTATTTTATTTATTGGGGTTCAACTGTCTTCTCATTAAAAAGAAGGAAGCTCTGCTACTGTGCTTAAATGTCACTAGCACAACCGCCTAATTTTACTACTTAAGAAAAAAGTAAAACTGCAAGAGATGAAGGGACTTCCAAGATGTCACACACAATATATTCTAATTTAGTTCCCAGAGGAAGTTGTTTTTGTTTCTTCTGGTTTTTCTTTAGTTTGTTTAAAAAAAAAAAAAAGTATTTGCTTATTTATACTTCATGGGAAAAGCATCATTAGCATTTTGTATTTTTTGGTAGGCTTTTCTTCTTCCCTGGGAATTATTTTACATCTGAAAAGGCATTATTCTTCAATGAATAAAAGGAAAGATTTCAGAAAAACCTTTTTTCTACAGCTCTCTCCTCACCCCTATCTTATTTCCAACCCACATATGCATAGAGTCTGTGATTAAAAGTCAGGGAACAACCACAGACATTGAGGACATTTGATTTCTAGTCTGAAAGTCACATGCTCTCTAGTAATGATAGCCCTTCCTGCATGGAGTGGCTGCAAAAGATGGTCGCTGTCATTGATTCCAAAAACGAACATGGCAACTTATATTAAAGAACACTCTTCAGATGGATGTATTGAACATGTAAATTGGATTTACACACTCAGGTTTTGGAAACAGTGACTATAAACACAGCATAAGACTTGCATTCACAAAATTATAGAGGACTATACATACAAATCAGCTCTCATTGAATCTTTGAAAATGAGATTGCATTTCTTGAGGATTTATCTCACACTCCATGCTGGCTACCTTCAGCAAATCATTGTCACCAAGCACAGCCGAAAAAATGTGAAATGCCCGCGTGGCTACTTCTTCTCCCTGGAGGTAAGGGGTTTGCAGGTGAAGTATTTACAGTGTTTAAAATGTAACGCAAAGGAGATCCCTAGTTTTTTTCTTTTTCCCACTGGTGGTGTAGTCTGGATAAATCACACCCTTTGGCATTTGCATTGATACAACAAGAAGATATCACGCAGCACAAATAGCCTCATTTCCATAAAACGGCCTTTTAAAATTAGAAAATGTATAATTCATTTGGGATGGTTATTATCGCTTTTGGGAGGGATTTAGACTTGTATTTAAATGCAAATAGCTGTATTTTTTTTTTCTTCCAGTTACACATAGGAAGCCACAAAATTTAGGAACTCTAAGATGCAACCTTGTTCTTAACTATGACTTCCAGATTACAATATCAATAACAAAAGAGATTTGCTTGGCTCATTAAGGTTTGTGGCTGACTCTCTTGTCTTAAATTTGGTCCTCCACACTTCTGTAGGAGAGAATTCCCATTTTGCACAGGAGGAAAGTGAGGCCCAGACAAGTTAGGTGACTTCTCTGGATTGCACATTGTGGATGTGGCAAAGCTATACATTCTATCCGGATGAGAAGGCAAATGGATAAACATAAACAACTAGAGAGACTCAAGAATGGCAACGAGATAACCAGAAAATGGGCGAAAGGGAGAGAAAACAGAGAAGCAAGAAAAATCATAGAAGGCAGAAAACACCTGGACAAGAAGGGCCAGGAAAACACTGGACAAGAATGAAGCAATCTGCCTCATACCTCTGATCCTCTCTGAGCTGTGCTCCCCTCCGTGACATTTAGAGATGGAAAGGCAGGAGAACCGTTATGGTGATTCACTGACCCTAAAGTCTGGTCCCTCTTATTCAACTGTGCTGCTTATGTGTCCTTTATTTGAGTAGGCTGTTTATCCTGTGGTCACCTAGGCAGGGAGAAATATCTCCATGCCCTCTTTTGAAACATGGCTCATGTTTTAGTCATTAATGCTTAGCTCTACAAAGAAGCCTTGTTTCTGACTTCTGGATATTTGCATATCCTAAAAAGTTCTCGCTCTATCCTTGTTACTCCTCAATACCCTCTTTTTTCCTTCATCTGGCGAATTCCTGCTCATTTTCCAAGACTACACTAACGCTGGAGTACTCTAAGGAAACTCCTGAAATTACTTCCATCATGAACCAGTCTAGACCATATGGGCTTTCTCAGCTTTTATAGGTCAATGGGAACCCCTAAGACTCTACAGTTGAAATGGCCCCTTCTCAGCAGGTCTTCCCCACTGGGCTGGAGACCTCAAAAGCAAGGGTCCTTTCTTGGGTATTTGCATATTCCCAACCAGTGCTACAGAAAGTGACACAGAGAAAGAATTCTATACATATTTATGGCATCCTAATTCTGCTGATACTGTCTGTGTGACTTCAGACAATTACTTAACTTCTCTGAACCTCAATATACTAATCTGTAAAATGGACCTAAAATTGGAATAGAGTGAGTCTTACACCCACTTATAAAGGTAACCTGCATGGGACATGAGCAGGTCTCAACAAATGACAGCTATTGTGATTACTATTGCTAACAGAAAGTGAACAAATACATGTTTGAGAATACTAGAGACACTCCCTCAGACTTTGTCATTCAGCCCTTTAAATATCAGTCCAGACATCAACTAAATTCCTTTCTACACAAAATATTCTCTAACTCCATGCCCACCCAGGCTACTACTGCCAGGCCTGTTCCACAGAACAGAACCGTCGGGTCCCCCAAGGCCTTTCGCTTCCCCAGCCTCAGGAAGTCTATCCAAATGTTAACATTCATTCTACAATAAACCGACTTCACTGGGGTATCTGTGAAATCACCTTTGCAAAAATTATAACAGTGAGAAAACTAAGACAGTGAAAGGGACCTTACTTAACCAACTTAATCCTGCCTTTAACTCTCAAACTGCCCTTGGTCATTCCTGGGCATGGATCCAGATAACTTCCAGATAAATTTTAGTTTGTATGGTAAATGATAATAGCCCTTTCTGAAACTAAATTGCCTTTGTGAAACTGAAGAAAAGCCACCAGATTAGGAGGAAGAGAGAGGCCGGAATTCTGCTAAAATATAGACTTAAACAATAACCAACCACTGTTGATCACAAAACTTGCAACTTCCCCACATACTCTTGTAAATAACGTCACTATTGTAGAACCTAAGATTGGCCTTTCGAGATATCTTTTTTTTTTTTGAGATGGAGTTTCGCTGTTACCCAGGCTGGAGTGCAATGGCGCGATCTTGGCTCACCGCAACCTTCACCTCCTGGGTTCAGGCAATTCTCCTGCCTCAGCCTCCTGAGTAGCTGGGATTACAGGCACATGCCACCATGCCCAGCTAATTTTTTGTATTTCCAATAGAGACAGGGTTTCACCATGTTGACCAGGATGGTCTCGATCTCTTGACCTCGTGATCCACCCGCCTCGGCCTCCCAAAGTGCTGGGATTACAGGCTTGAGCCACCGTGCCTGGCTGCTCGAGATATCTTTTTAAGCAATGCAGGTCTGATGACCAAGATGCTCCACCCAAATCAGCAACTCCTCTTCGGCCCCCACACAGAAGCTGATTCAGGGCAGGAGAACCATTTTCTACATCTCTATAATTTAACTCCAACTAATCAGCAGCACCCATTCCCTAGTCACCTACCTGCCAAACTATCCTTGAAAAACCCTAGCTTCTGAATTTTGGGGAAGGCAGATTTAAGTAATAATAAAACTCCAGTCTCCTGTGTACCTGGCTCTATACGTATTAAACTCTATCTCTATTGCAATCCTTTTACTTGATAAATTGGCTCTATCTGGGCATTGGGCAAAGTAAATCCATTCAGCGGTTACATCTGTTTGTCAGCAATGGCTTGAATTATCACTGTTCTCCTAGAGACTGAATTAAATCTGCTAAGTTATCCTTTTTTCTGTTCTTCATTTTTCTTTTTGGCCATATGAGGAGGCTGGACAAAACAGATTCCAATTTTCCTTTCAATTCTAACTTCTGCTTCTCAAGCAAAAAAAAAGGGTTTCATCAGGGACTTAATTAAAAATATACTTGATGTTGCAGCGGAACCTGAAAAGCCTCCTGGTGCAAGAATCAGGAGTGAGAGGCAGCACCTGTTTGAAACAGGACACTATTCTTTCCGGAGTCTTCCATCTTCATCTAAGAAATAAGTTGCAGGTGGCTGCATGGCCCCAATGTGGGTCAACAAGTGTTCCCTGAGGGCACACAGAAGACATGTGGGGAGGCATGTTTATTGTCAAACTCGCACAGTGAGTGAGGCTAGGATGCTAAGTGTCTCACAATGAGAAAAACGTTTCTGTATGTTAAAGAACTGTCCTATTGAAATAGTCAGAATTGTCACCATTGAGGTCGCATTTGCATTGTTTCAAGGAACCCTATAGGATATTCCAGCTTTAGCATTTTGTAAAAGGCTAATTGAAATAATATGTGCTCAATATATTGTGTTTAGAAGAGTTTTCAGTTTTGCAATGCAGTGACTTTTGTGATATTGCATAAGTCTAATTATCCTTGAAATTCTGTTCTTGACCTATATTTAAAAAGCACTAACATTTTCTTATTTTAAGCACTGGTTTCCAGAAAATGGTATGCATGCTCATTTCCTATCACCTTTCCTTCATGAGCCTGCATTGTAGCTTCACCACGTCTGAGAACTCCAGCTATCAGAACTGGGGAAAATGCAGTAGCTAGGGACCGATTTGTGAAGTTTGGTCCATCTTTAAGCTGCTTATATCTTCAGGTGTAGGAAGAAAAACTGAAAATGGACCACCTCAGACTCAGACATCACTAGTTCTCCTATTTATAAAATTATCTTTTAAAAACATATAAATTTTCAAAATTCCTTCTTTGTGTCAAATACTGATGTGGTAGCTTTGCAAATATTATTATTAAGACAACACTTCACTTGCAGATTATTTCCCCATTCTCAAAATGAGGAAAGTATGTTTTAGTGAGATTTGTACATTTGCCTAAGATACACAGATACTACTGATGGATCTAAGTTTAAACATACATCTGTTCAAATCTGTTTCAGAGAAAATGATATTGTTACATTCTGTCTTCAGTTCGATTTACAGTAAATTTGGTGGGCAATTTATTATCTCAATCAAGGGAAAGCTGTGAAATTTTTTCTTATTTATTCTATAGAGATAGTAAAAGTATAAGTTCTTTTTAATGATTGTGTCTATTTGATATTGCTACATACTTTTCAAAGGCAATTTTAAACTAAAATACTTTAAAATGTATTTCCCCACAAAATTTTCACTAAGCTCCAACTGGTCTGTGTGTATGACTCACAGTTCCCAAGCCCCAGTTCATATAACTGAGAACTGAAAGAGGGTCAGAGAGAAAGAGTGGGGAAGGCTGAAAAAATTTTCAGAAAAGATCATGCTTGCTAGGGAGCTCAAAAGAGCCCCCGCAGCATTCAAAATGACTGAGGTGAGAATTCTTGGGTACATTTTCTGCCTCGCGAAGTGCTGATTGATTTGGTTTTGTTCTGTGTCCCCATCCAAATCTCATGTCAAATTGTAATCCTCATTGTTGAAGGTGGGACCTGGTGGAAGGTGCTTGGAACATGGGGGTGGTTTCTAATGATTTAACAGCATCCCCCTAGTGCTGTCTTGTGAGTGAGTTCTCGTGATATCTTGTTGTTTTAAAGTGTGTAGTGCCTCCCCCTTCACTCTCTTCCTTCTGCTCCAGCCATGTAAGACGTGCCTCCTTCCTCCTCATTGTTCACCATGATTGTAAGTTCCCTGAGGCCTCCACAGAAGCAGAAGCCTCAGATACGTGAGCCAATGAAACCTCTTTTCTTTATAAATTACCCAGTCTTCAGGAAGTTCTTTATAGGAGTGCAAGAACAGGCTCTTATACTGATAAATGTTTAAGAAGGGGTGGGAGGGAAGCCCTGAATAGTAGTACCTGCTAATTCCTCTGGTATGAAGTTTCCCTCCATGTCTACCTATGTAGCCCCTGGCCACCCTAGTCATATTGTTGGGCAGAAATGTCTTTGATGCTGACTTCAGCACATCACTCCCTGAATCCCGTGCATCTACTTAAAGTGGCAGCAGGCTCACAACTCTTCTCTGTTAGTCAGAAAAAGATGTGATAAACTTTAACACTATGGCATGAGCCTGGCCACATTCCTGCATTTGTGCATTCATGGGCTCACTCATTCCACTGAAATTTTGGTGCCCAACTCTATACTAGGCACAATTTCAAGACGAGGAGGTAGAAAGGTTCAGAAAGATGACCAGGAGCCAGTCCTTGCCCTTTTGTGACAGTTAGTGGTGGACGACAGGCACAGAAGCAGACAGTTACAATACAGAGGGCTTGACTATTTCGTCATTATTTTCAGTTCACTGTTCCCCCACTTCCCACTGCCCTGCATACCCTCACATCATCTTCCCCAGCTTAGATTCCATTAATACACCCTCTGCCTTCTCTTCCTTCTCCTGCTTTGTAGCTGCAAAATGCAGCTGCCATGTTTAACTGTTTCCAGGGAATTTCCAATGAACACTTCACAAGCAGCAGATGTCATGCTAATCAAGCAAGCTATACCTATGGCCTCATTTGACCCTCACAAACAATCTTACAAAACAAGCCCTATTATAACCTTCACTTTACAGAGGAGAAACTATGGTAGGAAGAGGTTAAATTACACATCTAAGGTCACACAGTGAATAAATGACAGGCCCAGAATTACAACTTGGAATACTGAACTACTTTTAACCTCACAGAGTGTCAAAAAGGGCACTGATCCGGTGAAGAGATTACGGTATTCAAGACAGAGGGAATACAAAAGAGAGTGCTCGAAACTCGGCATTAAGATGTCAGGA